GGGAACTATACCCATCCCTTTATTCCATAGCCTCCAATAAAGAAGTAACAGTCGCTGAAGCAATGACAGTAGTGGGAAATCGAAAGGAGTAGACTCTTCCTTCAGAAGAAATCTCTCAGATGAGGAAATCTCACATTTCCTCTCTCTTTCCAATACTCTTCAAAACTCTTTCATTCCCGCCCATGTTAGGATCAGTTGGTGTGGTCCCTCACTCCTTCTGGGACTTTCACGGTGGCATCTCTCTACAAAAAACTTATACAACCACCCACTTTCCCTCTCAACCCTCCCTCGGTGTTATCAAATGTATGGAGCACTATCGTACCCCCCAAAGTGAAGTGCTTCAACTGCATAGCAGGATCTCAGAGGGCCCTTACGGTGGATCAGCTTCAAAAAAGAGGAATTCCAATTCCCAATAGATGTGTCCTATGTCTTTGCGAAGAAGAATCTAACCCACAACTCTTTCTACATTGCAATATGGCTCACGGCCTTTGGGGGCAAATGTTGCCGCTATGTGGTGTCCAATGGGTCATGCCAGCGATAGGCAAGGAATTGTTACCTCTTTACCCCGTCCTTCATTGGCCTAAGGTAGGGAGAACAATTTGGAAAGCCGCAGTGGCGGCTATTATTTGGACAATTGGGAATGAGAGGAGCTCTAGGATTTTCCAAGTAATAGCTACCGAAGGTCTAGCTTTGTTCTATAGAGTTACATCCTTAGTAACTTTTTGGGCTTCCAATCACCGTATCTTTGTAGGTCTCTTTGCTAGTGCTTTTCTCTGCAACTGGAAAAATATCATGCTCCACTGTCCTCGCAAGGCTCAAAGACCCCATCTGTGGCAACCCCCCACCCGAGGTACCATTAAACTTAATTTTGACGGGTGCTCCTTTGGAAACCCTGGTCATGTCGGAGCGGGAGGAGTGTTCAGAGACCACCGCCGGGAAATTTTGTTTATGTACTCCGAATACGTGGGTATCCAAGGCTCTTAGCATGTTGAGGCAATGGCCCTCCTCTTGGGATTGAAAAGCTTCAATTTGTCCTTGGGGCAAAATCTTTCTGTGGAAGGTGACGCTAGTAACATTATTTCTTGGGCATCAGGGGGCTCCTCCCCTCCTTGGTATCTTGCTCCCATTTTTGATGAGATCGCTGACATTTGTAGGGCTATGGATGCATACCTTGAGGATGTCAAACGACTTGGCTGGAAAGGACAGGGCCAGAGCTCACATTGAAGACACAGAAAGATAAAGGAACAACAACTCTTGGCCATCTAATTTTGTCTTTTATCACACAATTTTTTTGTACAAAGGGGCAACTTATAACCCTATTTTGTGTAATATCATTGTATATCTTGTACCATCAAGGGTTGTTCTCTTAACTTTTTTGTATAAGGTTGGGTGACAACCGATTACAAGGAGTCCCATTGCATAGGGACCCTCGGTTTTAATACCTCGGTATTAACTATTTCAATGAAATACATTTAACTTTTATAAAACGAAAAAAAAAACTTGGAATCTCGTTCCCCACGATTCCTATTGTATGTTCAATGATTTCTAAGGCAGAAATCTTCTAGCCGGCTGCGATTCTGCGATTCCGGTTCCTAAATAATTCGGGTTCCCAGGCATTTCCAACAACTATGGTAAAGACTAAAGAGATTAAACTAGTGATGATATCTAGCTAGAACCTTATTAGGCGTGTTTGGGAGTGGAATATTGTTGACTATTGATTCTCTCTTAAGTCAAATGATACCTCATAGGCTAAGACTTGCCTTTTCCTTGATGTTCATCCTGTTTTAGGTACCTTGGGGGAGGCCAGGGTCTATGGTTGCCTCGATGGTTCAATGCTACTGCATTTGTTTCTTGAGATGGGAATGATGCTTTGGAAATAGGTTTCTATTGGTAAACTCTCATAAAGAGAGGACAAAATAACTTTTTTTGATGGTTTAATTTGAGGCTTAGGGAGAGGATCAAGGATATCCTTATTTCTGTCCGCTTCCCCCCCCCCCGCCCCCCTCCTCCCCCTCTTTTTTGTTTTTTAAATAAGGATTGATCCTCAAGGGACTCTTTTGCTTCAAAGCAGAGGAGTTGATTCTAGTGTCTAGAGCACCTCCTTGAGATCTAGATCAAGAGCGCCACGAACAAATCTTCTAAATGGATATATTAAGCTTATTTTTACTGGTAGTTTCCAGGTCTATTTGGTCGAGCAGTTGTCACTAGAAATTCTTATTGCTGGGTCCTCATGACCTGTGATGGGTCCAATGAGGTTGATGTTTTCTCCCTATGGATCTTAATGTTGTATTTCATGTATTCTGGCTTCTTTTTGTGGACGTTGATTGCCTAAATGTTAGATGGGTTGAGAGAGAGGCAGATCACCTTTGAATCTTTAGCTTATGTTTTGGGATTTTTAGGGTTGTGGAGGTGGTGGCTTCTTTCTCCTATGCTCTTTTGCTTGGCGAAGCCACACTGTTGTAGAGTCCCTTGATCGGGAGGGAGTTGAGGGATCCCTCTCCATTGGGGGCAGTTTTCTGTTTCCAAGATCCTTTCCTTGTTATAAAGTCACTGGGTTGCACTTGTAATGTGACTTTACATGTGCCTATGCTTCCTTTCATATCTTTCATTGCTCTTGGGGATATAAACATTTGTAGTTAATGAAGCCTTATCTGAAATAGCTTACCACTACTGGTGTACGTTGCTGTTTGGCTTTTGGCGTAGATTCTTCTTGTTGCCAGTATGTGCCAACTAGCAATGGCTGCGTGAGTCTTCTACATGTTTGTTTTCTTGAACATTCATTGTTATTTTGTTGCTAATTTGTCCCTGCGTACAAGAAATGTTATATGTGCTAAAATGCATCTGGCCATAGAAGATGAAATTTTTCATAAAAATTTGTAGTTTTTGGAATATAACTATTTTGGAGTTATTATTAATATTATTAAATTTTTTTTTTTCTTGCTTCCTGTGGGTGATTCCCATTATTTTATATGGAGTGTCTAGAGGTGATTAATCTTTCTGTTTGGAATAGAGCAGTTTGTTGTGCTTTGTCATACTTGTGCATTGGTCATTTATGAAGCTTGACTAGAGTTTTTTTTTAGTTTCCAAAAATTGGATATCTATTCTTAATTTCTTTTGATGCAATGATTAATTTTAACTGCTCACAAATTTACTTTATAATTGTGCACCTGATAGTTTTAGCTGCAACAGAGATTGAGAATATGGTTGCCATAGATTGTGGGACTATCTGAGATGTATTCATATAACATATAATGTGTGTGTTTACATATTATTCGATACCTGTGCACAAAGCATTCTTTGTTTGTATCAGCTACAAATTTTTCAAGCGACTATTTTTTTTACAATGTTCTCTATTTATTTGGTACAATTTTTTTACTCTGTTGAATTATGGGAAATGATCAAAGATGTCCCCCTTTTCCAAAAATTCAAGAAAAAGCTCAAATTCTTTAAAATCTACGTCTACACACATTTTGTCACAAGTTATTTTTTACCCAAAATGCCCTTGAGTCATCACGGACTCAATAGATCTGTGATGGTCCATGGCCAGTCTCTTGATCCTCACGGTGCTAAAAGGACCATTATGGTCCTATTAGGACCGTGATGTCTTGATGGTCCAAGGACCTTATTGATGGACCATCACGGTCGTAATAGGACCATAATGGTCCTTCCATTCCTACTTAACTCCATAAACCCATAAAGGACCATCACAATCTTGTTAGGACTGTGATGGTTGACTGTGGATCAAGGACCATAATGGTCCTATTAGGGCTGTGATGGTCCTTTTAGCACCATGGAGCTCAAGAAACTGGCCTATCATGAGTGTGGAAGGTCCTTGGACAGTCCATGATGATTCTCCATAGTCCTATCAAGTTTGTGAAGTGTATTTTGGGTAAAAAAAAGGCCATGTCAAAAGGGGTATGGATGTAGATTTTAAAGAATTAGGGTATTTTACAATTTTTGGAAAACAAGGGGATATTTGTGATAATTACCCTTAAATTATTTTCTTTTTTTTTGTTGGTTAGTTCTGAGGTAGGTATTTGAATTGGAGCCATAATGTTGCAACCGTTAACACTAATCAAGGCCGACTTCTTACAAAAATTTTATTTATCTTTTTGTATTAGAAACCTGCATGCTTCCCACCTCACGTGTCTCACTTTGCTTCTATCTATTTATATGAAATTTTATTTGTCTATCTGCTTTATTTATTTATTTATTTGTTCCTCTTTATTGGTAATTGACATTCATTTTTTTGTGAGTTATTGATGCTTTCCAACCCACTTTGCCATTTTCTGATTGTTTTATGCACTGCTTTCATTTCTCAGTCTCTTGTAGCTGCTTGTCAACCTATAATGCTCTGTCTGGACTTCTTGATAGTCATATGCAAGAAATGTCTTTAGTGCCTTCACCTTCATGGGGAATCTGAAAAAGGATAGTATTAACTGGTCATAATCACGCGGAAGACTATCCATTTTTTTGGGAATGGAGGTAAAAAAATGGTTTTCCTATTGCAGTCATAAGAGCTTTTTGACAGTATTTGTCCTTTAAGCAGGGTTCCACAAAAGTTGAGTTTGCTGTGATTACTGGTGTGCAAAGGAGGCATACTATTCACTTGTTTGCAAGCGTGAGGGTGTAATATTTTTACAGCCAAAAGCCTGTGCTTCGAATTGGGCCTAAATAGATGAATATGTTATCTCTAGCCAAGACTATTTCAGATTGACGATAACTGCAATGCGTGATACTTTAACTTAACAAAGTCAGAATGTTTTGCATGCTGAAGTTCGGAAAGTAGTACGTGCATGTACTTATTTGTCATCATCTTATTGCTATCATTATTTATATGTGTAATTTGATGTAGGGTGTTAACTTTGAAAATGAGATTCAGGTTGCAGAAACAAATCCCTTGTGAGACTTTTGAAGCTGTTTTACTTTCCTATGTTCTTTATAATTTGTTGTGTTTTAAGTTTTAATGCTTTTTAACTATTATTTATTATTCTATGCAGACCTATAATGTTGTTAATTATGATGAGAAGGTGATGGATGGTTTCTATGATGTATATGGAATATTCTTTAGTCACACAGTGCATGGGAAGATGCCTTCGCTGATGGAGCTTCAAGCAACATCTATTACAGATAATGTGGATTATGAAGTAGTTTTAGTTAATCGAGCTGTGGACCCCGCACTGGAACAGCTAGAGAAAAAAGCAACTTGTATTGCATCAGAATGTAGAGCCACTGAGCGTGGTCCATTAGATAGTGGTCTGGTTCAAAAACTTGCTGATCTTGTTGCTGACAGAATGGGTGGTCAAGTTTGTGATTCAGATGATATGTTAAGAAGGTGGACAATCAAGAGTTATGAACTACGAACTTCATTAAACACCATCATTTTCCCTCTAGGTATCCTGGAATTTGGTTTGTCTCGCCATAGGGCCTTACTTTTTAAGGTAATGCTTATTTGTACTTAACATTTATCTTTTGCTGTCCTTGGTTTTTTGAAAGTGAATTCTGATTGTAAGGGGGGATTTTGAAGCTCGTGGAAATTGAAGTTAAAAGAGCACGGAAATTATTTTATCATTGGCCCCAATATTTCCATTTCCATGTGAGAATTCCTTGTGTTCTTATAATATATTCGTTGCATCTATTCTCATAATGTTTCCATGTGAGAATTCCTTGCAGGCATTATTCTAAATGTTGGCTGAAACTTTTGTTTGGATAAAGTTCACTGAGAATGCACTGTTAGGCTTAACTATTGTAACTATCTTCTGCACGTAACTATTATAACTATCTTTTGGTTACACTGCTTGGCTGAAACTGTGACGATGATAAAGATCTATGGCTTGTATTAAAGTTTCAATCATGAAGTAATATTTTTCTTTGGTGCCAGCTGAAAGCAAGACCAAATTACATTAAACTACTGAAGCACTTGACGATGAAAGATTCCTTTAAATCCAAACCCTCTTTGTCGACCCTTATTTTGGCTAGGTTAATGGGCATGACATTAATCTTTCTTAAACATATGATTGACTCTGATCGCACAATCTGCATAAAACATCACCAGGAATCTCTGTGAAGTGTGAAAAGTCCACCGTAGTCACCATTTAGACATCGGGCAAACCGCATAAAACATCCAGGAATCTTTGTGAAGTGTGAAAAGTCCACCATCTTCACCACTTAGACTCATTCCAGAGCCCTTGACTAGCATGGGGGAAGACTTGACAAGTTGGGGTTGAGGGAAAGCAAAATGTACATCCAAGCAACACGCTCTCAAAGGCTTAAAATATCAATGTAGCACTTCTATGTTTTTGTTTGGAGATGTTTACCAAATGCTACTAAATCCAGTCCCCTTTCAGTTCCCTATCAAAATAAAAATGAGGTGCTTCAAGGTGGTGGATGGTATTTGCTGAACCATTGGCCATATTTTTACTTGATATCTTAGAATGTCATCGACCCACTACTCCACCCCTGCCCCTTTTTAACCAACTATATCATAGTTGTTGGAGGAGGGAGCTGGATTGCATCGGTGAACGCCGAACCGCCATAGGGTGTAAGCTCCCTTGGGTTAGGATTGGCACCCATCCATTCAATAAGTTAGAGAGCTAGATCCTAGCATACCTGGGAGCGAGATCCCGTGTTACTAGGATTGAGGTTTTGACTTGGAAGGATCTAAGCTCCACTACACATAAAACGAGATAAATTAATAATATATGGTAAAGTTAGGATCCAACCAATGCCTGCTTAATCGATTATCATACACCTTAGCTTGTTACCAATGCCATAGCTATTGTACTCCAATTTACTACAATAACATAGTTTAATAATATCATAAATGGGCTTGCTGTGCTATTAAATCGTAGTTTTTTAATACCATAGTTCCATAGTTCTAGTATTCCTAGATGTCATATGCACCACTGTTTAACATATTCTAAAGAAATAAATCTATAATACCAAGGATGTAGACGGAGATCCATTTAATAGGGAGCGAGATCCCTATTTCTCTAAACCCAGCTCCCTCTAAGATCCCACGGTTCCTCTAAGGGATCGAGTTCCTAAGGTGGGATATATTATGAACCTTGTATATCGTGGCCGTGTTTCTTCCATTTTGGACTCCGACTATATGTCTAGTTCTATCGTTTTGTTGGTTTTAGATTATTGCAAGGATTTGCCCCTACAAGAAGGACCTCTTCTGTTCATACGGCGTGATGATGCCTTGTTGATGCTGATGGTAGATTTTGGAGTGAGCAAGTAAATAATTTGTTGATTCTGGGAAGTGGAAAGGCAGTACAAGAAGCAGCAAGCAAATATATAATTTGTTGGTTCAGGGAGAAGGTTGCCAGGCTGCACAAGCGTAAAAGATAGAGCACTATTTCATACATCTCTCAGGTCATTTGAAAGAAAGTGGTTCAGTATATTTTCCATTGTTCTCAAGGTGATGCTGCATTTTATTAACATATGACCCCCTGATCCTACTATCATATGGGAAATATATGTTTGCAAATATAAACCACTGTGTTAGAGATTGTTAGCCACGAGGATCGTACTTTCATATGACTCATAGAAAGCAAAAGCCTTTTTCGCCCCAGACCCCAGACCCTAGACCCCAACCTTCCCACCCCCGCTCTCCTTCCTTCCTTCCTTCCTTCCTCCAGCTCTTCCTTGGTTGCTGCTTGTTGGGGTTTGATAAATTTTCGATGTATATGGGCTGAAAAATTCATTTTAGCCTGCATACAAGGCCTCCCTTTAATACATAGCTGAGAAAAATGGGCAAGGTCCTGCCCCCACTTGGGTAACCTTGCTAACTGTTGAGCTTCTCTAGAAGATCTCATTCATGTCCACCATGTATATTATGCTTCATGTCTTGTGTCTTTTAGACTTCAACTGCAGCGTTCCTTCCTGCTCTTAGTTGCAATCTGTCACCTGTGGCTCCTATTCGTAGCGACATTGTCTAGTCTCGAGGACGTCTCTTTCAATAATTTCTCTTATGTGAGTTATTCCTTTAGGATCTCATCCTTCCACAAACAATTTAACATCCTTTCTAAGCTCATCCACAATGCTCAAAATGTCTGAAAATAGAAAAATAAGAATGCTGAAAGCCTGCTTTTGTTGGAAATGTGTAAGTACCTCTTGGATCAAGTAAGAATGCAAGATTTTTTGGGAACAATTATGTATATCTTTCTGCGATATCTAAAACCCTTAGGCGTTTTGTGATTTGAGATGACCTGAGAAAAAAGCGAGGAGGGCAAAATGAATTGAAGGTCCTGTTTTAGGAAAGAGATTGGAGAACCATTCAACATAAACCAAAAATAAAATATTCCTATAACTTGAAAATCCAAGTGTATTAAACATTTCAACAAGTCTTAAAGATCCAACATCAAACAAGAAAATAAATACAAGCAAATTGTTTTTACTGAAATTTGTGCAAATGCTAATAAACATTGTTAGAACCTACTTCAGCAGCCATGATATACCACTATATCTATGGCTAGTTGAAGTGAGATGCTACGATAAGACTAACTTAACTTCCTGAAATTGAAAGAATTGACGGTTATATGCTTTTGGTGAAAGTGCTGTCAAGTAGTGATAAGTGAGAATGTTAGAAGATTTTTATCCAAAAACTGGTGCTCCTGAAGTACTAATTCCGAAGGGAAGAGTAGAAAGACAAAATTTGTGATCGTTTTCATGTTGGATCACTTCTTTTATGTCAAGGACATTTGTGTTTCTATAAAATGGGTTTTTTTCATTAATGAACTTCAAAGTGTTGGGGTTTTGTGGCCTTTAAAGGCTGTGAGAGCTTGTAAAAGTCATTTGTTATGGATTATACACTTTTGTTATGGATTATACACTATGGCCCTGGCATAGTTGTTGGAGACAGGAGCAGGATCGGTTCGGGAATCACCAAACTGCCCTGTTGCGGATGTTCCCTGGGTTTGGGATCGTCGTGCGTACAATGAACAAGAGAGGGAGCAAGATCCTTAGGTTTATGAGAGTGAGATCCCATATCGATGGGTTCGCGGTTTTGACTAGCAAGAATATAAGCTCCACTACGTATTAAACGAGGTTGTCAAGTAGAGCTAGTAAGGGTTCCCTTGGTTAAGGGATGAGGTTTCTGTTTGTCATATAATGGGGTTCCTCTTGTTCTAATAACGAGATTCTTCAAATATAGGAATCAAGGTCCTTAGTTGATTGGCCCCAAGGTCCGCAACGGCCATTTATGAGGGACCCCTCTATTGGGCACTTTCCTATATAGTCTGTAGTCCACACTCCAAAGTTCACTATGTATGACATCATCTAGTTAAATAAATCCATAGTGCCCTATTTCTATACATCACATGCTTATGTGGTACTTGATAAATATTAAATACTTTTGGCACTTTACTATATAGTCCGTGGTCCATAGGCCAAAATCTAATATGTATGACATCCTATGTTTACATAAGTGCATAGAATCATATTTTTACTATGCAGTCTGCAATCCACTCTCCAAAGTCCAATATGTATGCTACTCTCCAAAGTCCAATATGTATGCTATCCTCTAGTTAAATAAATCTATAGTACCCCATTTCTATGCATCACATGCTTACATGCTACTTGATAAATGCTAAATACTACTGAGCACTTTATGTCCATAGTCCATGCTCCATAATCCAATATGTACATATGAGTGCATGACAACCTCTAATTAAATAAATCCATAGTGCCCTATTTCTAGGCATACATGCTACTTGATGAAATATTAAATACTTTTAAGCACATTACTATATAGTCTGTAGTCCATAGTCCAAAATGTTATATGTATGACATCCTATGTTTAAATAAGTGCATTGAACCATATTTTTATGCAACACATACCTATATGCTTGATAAATCTAAAGAGTATGGATTAGTTTGCTACGTAGTCCATGGTCCGTAGTCGAAAATCTAATGTGTATGACATACCCTATTTAATTAAATGCATATTTTCAGAATTTGATACATCAGGTGCCTATATACTACTTGATAAATGCTAAAAGTATAGATGACTATTAGATAGTCCATAGTATATTTATGTACTCCATTCTTCTTATATATACTTCAAATCATTAGAGGTATAACTTTAATAGCATAGTCCTTCGGACCACCAAGATATTGATATTCCTTACATATAAATCCAAAAACGATCTACAAGTACACAAATTGGATTTTTTGTAGTATTTTAATCAACTTCATACCTAGATCACCAACCCTTACCCCCCTCCCCCACCCACTACCTTCCCTCTTCCCTTCCCCAATTCCCCCTCCCTCTATATTAACCCTTGGTTCCAAAACCAGCCCACACAGCTCCTTCGCAATTAGCTTGTGGTGATCATTTTGGTGAATTTGGTTGCTCCTCCCAACTCTCCCATGCTACAAGTATGTGCGCTTGTTCTCTTTCGCTGTGTATTTCTGTGACTCTTGTGTGTGCATAAGA